CGCTGCTCCCGGGGCCGCGCGGGTGGCACCCGGGCAACGTCACCACCGTGCCGTGGGTCGGCGGCGCCAGCGTCGTCGAGTTCGTGTCGCGGGCGCACCGCGTGCGGCAGGAGGTCCCGGCACGCTCCGAGTGCTCCGTGGTTCTCCGCGGGCTCCGGCGGCGGATCCGCGTCCCGTTCCGGGCCCGGCTGACGCGGGAGTTCCGCTCGGGCCCCCCGCACCGCGTGCCCATCACGGGCTGGGCGCAGAGCCGCGCCGTCACCGGCGTCCATGCCGGCCTCGAGCGCTGCCGCCGCCTCGCCGAGCTGCCGCCGTGCCCCGGCTGGGGATGAATCCGTGGAATTCTGGTTTTACCGCCAAAAAAATCCCGAAAATCCACGGGAACGCTTTCGGCGCGGGGTGCGGTGGTTTCGGGTTTTACGGCATAAAGTTCACCCCAAAACGCAGGGAATTGGGGTTTCGGTGAGGTTTTCTCTTTGCTCCCCAAAAATCCAACAACACCACCAGGAAAACCCTTGGGATTTGGGGTTGTGTTTTCAGAAACCCAGGAAAACCCTCAGGGTTTGGGTGTTGTTCTTCTGAAACCCAGGAAAAGCTTTGGGTTTTGGGGATTTTTTTCTGAAACCCAGGAAAACCCTTGGGATTTGGGGTTGTGTTTTCAGAAACCCAGGAAAACCCTCAGGGTTTGGGTGTTGTTCTTCTGAAACCCAGGAAAAGCTTTGGGTTTTGGGGATTTTTTTCTGAAACCCAGGAAAACCCTTGGGATTTGGGGTTGTGTTTTCAGAAACCCAGGAAAACCCTCAGGGTTTGGGTGTTGTTCTTCTGAAACCCAGGAAAAGCTTTGGGTTTTGGGAATTTTTTTCTGAAACCCAGGAAAACCCTTGGGATTTGGGGATTTTTTTCCTGAAACCGAGGAAAACCCTTGGGATTTGGTGGGGGATTTTTTTCTGAAATTCAGGAAAACCTTTGGGTTTTGGGGATTTTTTTCTGGAACACAGGAAAAGCTTTGAGTTTTGGGGATTTTATTTTTTCTGAAATCTAGGGAAACCCTTGGAATTTGGGGATTTTTTTTTTCTGAAATCCAGGAAAACCCTCAGGATTTGGGTGTTGTTCTTCTGAAACCCAGGAAAAGCTTTGGGTTTTGGGAATTTTTTTCTGAAACCCAGGAAAACCCTTGGGATTTGGGGATTTTTTTCCTGAAACCGAGGAAAACCCTTGGGATTTGGTGGGGGATTTTTTTCTGAAATTCAGGAAAACCTTTGGGTTTTGGGGATTTTTTTCTGAAATCCAGGAAAACCTTTGGGTTTTGGGGATTTTATTTTTTCTGAAATCTAGGGAAACCCTTGGAATTTGGGGATTTTTTTTTTCTGAAATCCAGGAAAACCCTCAGGATTTGGGTGTTGTTCTTCTGAAACCCAGGAAAAGCTTTGGGTTTTGGGAATTTTTTTCTGAAACCCAGGAAAACCCTTGGGATTTGGGGATTTTTTTCCTGAAACCGAGGAAAACCCTTGGGATTTGGTGGGGGATTTTTTTCTGAAATTCAGGAAAACCTTTGGGTTTTGGGGATTTTTTTCTGAAATCCAGGAAAACCTTTGGGTTTTGGGGATTTTTTTCTGGAACACAGGAAAAGCTTTGAGTTTTGGGGATTTTATTTTTTCTGAAATCCAGGAAAACCCTCAGGATTTGGGTGTTTTTCTTCTGAAACCCAGGAAAACCTTCAGGTTTTGGGAATTTTTTTCTGAAACCCAGGAAAAGCTTTGGGTTTTGGGGATTTTTTTCTGAAACCCAGGAAAACCCTTGGGATTTGGTGGGGTTTTTTTCTGAAACCCAGGAAACCCCTCAGGGTTTGGGTGTTTTTCTTCTGAAACCCAGGAAAAGCTTTGGGGATTTTTTTTTTGAAATCCAGGAAAACCCTTGGGATTTGGGGTTGTGTTTTCGGAAACCCAGGAAAACCCTTGGGCTCCGAGAATTTTTTTCCTGAAACCCAGGAAAACCTTTGGGTTTTGGGGATTTTTTTGTGAAATCCAGGAAAACCCTCGGAATTTGGGGATTTTTTTTTTTTTGAAATCCAGGAAAACCCTTGGGATTTGGGGTTGTATTTTCAGAAACCCAGGAAACCCCTCAGGATTTGGGTGTTTTTCTTCTGAAACCCAGGAAAAGCTTTGAGTTTTGGGGATTTTTTTCTGAAATCCAGGAAAACCCTTGGGCTTTGAGAATTTTTTTTCCTGAAACCCAGGAAAACCTTTGGGTTTGGGGGATTTTTTTCTGAAACCCAGGAAAACCCTTGGAATTTGGGGATTTTTTCCAGCTATTTTTCAGTTTTTGGCGTAACCTCCATCCCTGTCTGGAACAAAGCTGGGAAATGTGGTGGAATTTCTGCTTTTCTACCCAAAGCCCCTCAAGCACCGCCTCAAAACCCAAGAAAATTGCTGCATTTTGGGGCCTTTTTTCTCAGTTTTTCTCATTTTCAAGGCAGAACCTTCACCCCTGTCCAAAACCTCAAAAAAAAGGAGTAAAGAGTGGCCTTTCCCAGACACATTTCCTGTTTTCTCCCCAAAAACTCCTCCACCAAGGACGTGGAGTCCAGGAAAATCACTGGGTTTGGTTTTTTCCCCATATTTTTGTTTTTCCTCCCATATCTTTGGTTACCCTCCCATATTTTTCCTTTTTCTCACATATTTTTTGGGGGTTTTCCCTATTTTTGGTTTTTCTCCCATATTTTTTGGTGTTTTCTCCCCTATTTTTGGTTTTTCTCCTGTATTTTTGGTTTTTTCTCCCATATTTTTGGGTTTTCTCCCATATTTTTGCTTTTTCTCACATATTTTTTGGGGTTTTCCCCCTCTTTTTGGTTTTTCTCCTGTATTTTTGGTTTTTCTCCCATATTTTTGGGTTTTCTCCCATATTTTTTGGTGTTTTATCCCCTATTTTTGGTTATTCTCCTGTATTTTTGATTTTTCTCCCATATTTTTGGGTTTTCTCCCATATTTTTGGTTGTTCCCTGTATTTTTGGTTTTTCTCCTGTATTTTTGGGTTTTCTCCTGTATTTTTGGGTTTTCTCCCATATTTTTTGGTGTTTTATCCCCTATTTTTGGTTATTCTCCTGTATTTTTGGTTTTTCTCCTGTATTTTTGGGTTTTCTCCCGTATTTTTGGTTTTTCTCCTGTTATTTTTGGTTTTCCTGGCAGAACCTTCATCCCTGCCCGAATGTAGGAAAAGGTGGCATTTTCCATCTGAATTCCCCATTTTCTGCCAAAAAAGGGATTTTGGAAGTGAAGGAAAAACGGGAAAAAAGCCAAAAAAAAGGGACGCAAAGGGATCTTGGGGTGGGGTGTCCCTGGGGAACTCGGGAGGAGAAAAAAATCCCAAAATTCAAGGCAAAAACCCAATTCCAAGGCCAGGGGGATTGTCCAGGATTTTGGGGGGGTCTGGGATTGGGGGGATCTCCGAGACAATCCAGGCTTGGAAAGGGGGGAGAGGTTGGAGGTCCGGGAATTCTGAGGGGGTCCAGGGAGCTGGGAGGGGCTTGAGGAGACCCCAGACTGGGCGGAAGCAGCAACTTGGGGATGCCCTGAACTTCCTGGCAGGGGGAAGGAGGGATTTGGGGAGATTTCGTGGGGAAATGGGATCATGGAGCCACCAGGTCATGGGGGACATCAGTCATGGTCCCACCACCCCTGTGGGATCTTGGGGATCAGGGAATGGGATCATGGAGTCACCAGGTCATGGGGGTGCCAATGGTCAAGGTCCCACCACCCATGCTGGATCTTGGGAAGGAGGGAATGGGATTGTGGAGCCACCAAGTCATGGGAGACATCAAATGCCCATCCTGATCCGTGTTTGAGCCACCTCAGGACAGTCCTGGGGCCACCACACCTCTCCCATCTCCAGGAGAAGGGAGCCAAGATCTGGAGGCCCCAAGCTCATGGGGGTGTCAATGGTCATGGTCCCACCACCCTGTGGGATCTTGGGGATCAGGGAATGTGATCATGGAGCCACCAGGTCATGTGGGACATCAAATGTCCATCCTCATCCGTGTTTGAGCCACCTCAGGACAGTCCTGGGGCCACCACACCACTCCCATATCCAGGAGAAGGGAGCCAAGATCTGGAGCCACCAAGCTCATGGGGGTGTCAATGGTCGTGGTCCCACCACCCCTGTGGGATCTTGGGGAGCAGGGAATATTGTCCATGGAGATGGTTTTTGACCCCAAAATTTGGGGTTTTGGTCCATTGATGGTGTTTTTGAACCCAGGATATGGGTTTTTAATCCATTGATGGTGTTTTTGACCCCAAGATTTGGGTTTTTGGCCCACTGTGATAATTTTGACCCCCAGGAGATGATTTCTGGGTCCCACCACCTCCAAGCTCCCCCGGCTCCAGCGGCACCACCCCCGCCCCGTTTTTGGGGTGGCCGAAGGTTTTCCCTTTGGGTTTTTTCCCTTAGGAATGACCAGGGATGGGACAGAGTGGGAGGAATATAAGGGGCGGACAAATTTTTTCCAGTTGGGGGAAATTCTCCCTGGGAACCCCATATCTGGACCTGCTCCCACCTGCTGCCCTGGACCCCAAAAAGCTGCCAAGAGGATTTAGGCACCCCCTTTCCAGCCTCAATTTTCTTTTTTTTTTCTTGGGAATGAGCAGGGATGGGACAAAGTGGGAGGTGAGCAATGATTCCCGATTTAGGGGCATGCACCCCAAAACCCGGAATTGCTCCCACTGGCTGATGATTCCCAATTTAGAGGCATGCACCCCAAAGTCCGGAATTGCTCCCACTGGCTGCACCCCAAAATCCGGAATTGCCCCCAAAAAGCTGCCAAGGGGATTTAGGCACCCCCTTTCCAGGCTCAATTTTGGGTTTTTCCCTTGGGAATGAGCAGGGATGGGACAGAGTGGGAGGGGACCAATTATTCCCAATCTGGGGGCATGCACCCCAAAATCTGGAATTGCTCCCACTGGCTGCCCTGGACCCCAAAAAGCTGCCAAGGGGATTTAGGCCCCCCCCTTTCCAGGCTCAGTTTTGTGTTTTTTCCCTGGGAATGAGCAGGGATGGATGGAGTAGGTGAGCAATGATTCCCGATCTGGGGAGCCAGCACCCCAAAATCCGTCCCCGCTTGCACCTGCTGCCCTGGACCCTATAGAACTGCCAAGGGGATTTAGGCCCCCCCCTTTCCAGGCTCAGTTTTGTGTTTTTTCCCTGGGAATGAGCAGGGATGGATGGAGTAGGTGAGCAATGATTCCCGATCTGGGGAGCCAGCACCCCAAAATCCGTCCCCGCTTGCACCTGCTGCCCTGGACCCTATAGAACTGCCAAGGGGATTTAGGCACCCCCTTTCCAGGCTCAGTTTTGTGTTTTTTCCCTGGGAATGAGCAGGGATGGATGCAGTAGGTGAGCAATGCTTCCCAATCTGGGGAGCCAGCACCCCAAAATCCGCCCCCGCTTGCACCTGCTGCCCTGGACCCTATAGAACTGCCAAGGGGATTTAGGCACCCCCTTTCCAGGCTCAGTTTTGTGTTTTTTCCCTGGGAATGAGCAGGGATGGATGCAGTAGGTGAACGATGATTCCCGATTTGGGGGCGCGCACACCAAAACCCGCCCCTGCTCGCACCTGCTGACCTGGAACCCAAAAAGCTGCCAAGGGGATTTAGGCACCCCCTTTCCAGGCTCAATTTTGGGTTTTTCCCCTGGGAATGAGCAGGGATGGACAGAATGGGAAGTAACCAATTATTTCCAGTTTGGGGGCATGCACCCCAAAATCCGGACCCTTTCCAGGCTCAGTTTTGGGTTTTTTTCCTTGGGAATGAGCAGGGATGGATGGCGTAGGTGAGCAATGATTCCCAATTTAGGGGCATGCACCCCAGAATCCGGAATTGCTCCCACTGGCTGCACCCCAAAATCCGGACCCTTTCCAGGCTCAGTTTTGGGTTTTCCCCTTGGGAATGAGCAGGGATTGATGCAGTAGGTGAGCGATGATTCCCAATCTGGGGAGCCAGCACCCCAAAAGCCGCCCCCGCTCGCACCTGCTGCTCCCAGACCGCTCCGGGCTCCGCTCGGGCCAGCTGGAAGCTCTCGGCCAGGGCCACGGCCTGCGCGCAGGACTCGGGGTGCCGCACCCACACCCAGCTCTGGATGTCCTCGGGCAGGATGCTGAGGAACTGCTCGAGCACCAGCAGCTCCATGATCTGCTCCTTGCTGCGCTCGTCGGGCCGCAGCCAGCGCCGCGACAGCTCCCGCAGCCGCCGCCACACGTCCCGCGGCCCCGCCGCCTCCTGGTAGCGGAACTGCCGGAACCGGAGCCGCCGCTGCTCCGTGCCGGCGCCGCCCGAGCCGCCGGGAGCGGCCGGCGCCGCGCCGGGCTCCGGGGGCCGCCAGAGCGGGCGGGGGGGGGGCGGCTCCATGCCGGTCTGGGTCTGGGGGAGGTGAAGGGAAGACCCCCCGATAGTGACAGAACGGCTTTGGGGAGCCCCCCAAAAACCCCGAGGTTTGTAATCCCCCCACGCCGAAACTGGGGTGCCGGCCGTACCCAACCCCCCCAGGCCGGGGGCTCGAACCCGCAGCCCCCCCCGCCCTGGGGGGCCCCCAA